GGGGCAGGTGGGGGGGGGGGGGGGGGGGGGGGCGGAGCGGAGGACGGGGTCTCTAACTCTGAATGTAAACAGACACACACACCTCCTCAGGCCAGATTCACCGACCAATGGTCACTGCGGTCGGTTTTCAAGCACGTGCCGCAAGGAGTGGAACTGCAGCAGAGACGGGATCTGGGTCAGCCGCTCCCCCCACAGGAGACACACTCCTGGGTGGGGCTGAGCTGCTCCAGGGACCACCTGTCTGTACACAAGGCGGCGGCCCGCCACCTGCACGGCAGTGCGGGACTGAGCCTGCACGCCCTCCAACCCTCCTTAAACCGGCCACACTCCCCCTCCCAGCGCTCGCACTCAGGAAAACGGGGCAGCACCTTCTTTCATCGGTTCTTCAGTATTTCCTGCCAGCGGCCTGCTCCGGTGTTCGGTGCACTTGCCCTGGGCTAGTCAGAGCGCATCTGTCAGAGTCTCCGCCCCGCTCACACCCTCTCCTCGCCACCAGCACGCTACCCGTGGCCTGCGCAGCGGCTCCATCTTTCTCGACAGCAACACCAGGAACCCGTCTGCTGCCAACGGGCCGGCTGGGCGTGGAGCTGTGGCTGCTGCCCCGCTGTCAGTGGCTCCTGGGACCTGGTCCTGGACCGTAACAGCTCACCTTCCAACGACCATTTCCCCCCTTTCCCCCCGTAAGGCCTACACATATTCCGGCTCAAGAGCAGCTCACCTATCGCTTCTCTCCACTCACAGCCCAGCAAGGACCGTCAGCAGCTTATTCCCAAAGGTCTGGCAGTTTTCTCTCCTGAAAAATGCTGACGGGCCCAAGGAGGTCACGTCCACCCACCGCCTCACAAAGCTGGCCCCCGTCTCCAAGGAGAACCCTAAGACCTCTCCGCCCAGGCACGGGCTCCCACCTGCCTGTGCACTCGGCCAGCTTCCCCTCACGCCAGCGCTGCTTCCAACCCCACAGTAAGTGTTCCTACGTGTCGGCAGGACCTTGTCAAAGCCTTTTAAACCCTTAACTTCGCGTCTGTCACAGAACCTTGTGCTAAGTGACCTGCCGCGGATTCAGGGGCGACTGCCCGTGGAGACCATGCTGTTGTCTCCCCGACTCCCCAGGGGTCCTTGCAGTGCGGTCCCCTCAGGCCTGTGCCGCCGGGTCAGTGTCGGGGGGACCCAGGACATGACAGAGCTCAGGCAGTGTGCCCGGTGACGGGACGGAGGCCGCCCAGCCAGCCGGTGACACCACAGCGCCGTCGGCCCAGGCTCTGCCCGGCACCCATCCCCAGGGCTGCCTTGAGGCTGGCCTCCCGCCCTGGAGGATGCTGGGCATCAGGCCGCCTGCTGCCTCTGGCAGGTTTATCCGTTCCAAACCCCACAAAGCTGGCGACGGAGGCCTCTGGCTGGGTCACTTCCACGTGACTCCAGGCCTCAACCCGTAGCCTCGGATGAATGAAACCCACGGCCCCCACAACCGAGGGGTCGGAGCGCAGCTCCTCGGGCTCAGGGCGGTTGTAACGCTGGGCAGACAGACACTGGGCGGGAGGGTCATGCCAGGGGCCGGCACAGAGACCTCCGTGGAGCCTCAGCCCCTTCACCACGCTGCCTCCGCCTCCCTGCCCTTTCACTATCTGCCCATTTTAGAACTGTTCTCCCTTCTTCCCCTGCGCCTCCTCGCCCCTGCCAGCCAGTGGGGGAAACGCAGTGACAAGCGACTGGTGTCCCCATCTCCTGAGCGTGGGCGGGACAAGCATTCAGGACGGGCCTTGGGATTGGCCAGCTACCCTGCAGCTCTGCTCTCCTCGGAGGCTGAGCCAGGCACTGGCATGTCCTGGATGTCCAGCTTCCTCGGGGCACCAGATAAACAGGTGTTGCCGGGCCCAACAGCCTCTGCCAGGCC